TATGATAGAGTCGAATGGCCCTTACTTCTTGTTGCTATGAATAAAATGGGCTTTAACTTGGTCTGGCAAGGATGGATTCATGAGTGTCTCCGGTCCTCTTCTTTCTCTGTGCTTATGAATGGCTCCCCAGCTGGCTATTTCACGCCCTACCAGGGGTTACGCCAGGGGGATCCATTGTCCCCTCTCTTGTATGTGATATGCACAGAGGGGTTCATAGCTCTCCTACGAAAGGCGATTGAGGAGAAGAGGCTCCAAGGTGTTAAAGTGGCTCCTCGGGCTCCCAGAATTTCTCACTTGTTTTTCGCCGATGATTCTTATTTATTTATGCGGGCTACTCTCTAGGAATGTGAGAATCTGATTGTGGTCTTGAATGTGTATGAGAAACTGAGCGATCAACGTGTGAATTTGGAGAAGTCGACTGTTTGTTTTAGTAAAAATATAGTTCTGCCTTACCAAGAATTCCTAGTTGCGATTTTGGGGGTCGGGGCGGTGGGAGTCCAAGATAAATATTTGGAGCTACCCACGCTTTTTGCTCTGTCTAAGATGGCTACATTCCGGTATTTGGAGGAAAAGTTATTAGAACGACTTAAGGGTTGGAAGCAACGGACTTTATCTTGGGTGGCAAAGGATACATTAATTAAGTCTAACGCCCTGGCTTTGCACTTGCATGTGATGTCCTGATTCAAATTACCAGTGTCCCTGTGTCGTCTCTTGGATAAGCATGTGGCTAGGTTCTGGTGGGGTGCGAATGAGGATCACTTGAAGATCATGTGGATTTACTGGCGTAATATGTGCAGGAGTAAGCATGATGGGGGGATGGGATTTTGCCGGTTTGAGCAGTTTAACCAGGCACTTTTAGCGAAATTAGGTTGGCGTATTTTAACTGACCCTCAGTCCCTTCTAGCTCAGGTTTACAAAGGAAAATATTCCCTACTAGGACATTTCTCAACGCTACTGCTCGTTCTCGCCCTTCATGGGGATGGCAGAGCATCCTTTTAGGGCGCCAATTATTGGAAAGGGGGCTGAGATGGCAAATTGGTAATGGTCCGTCGACCTCGTTGATTAATTCCAACTGGGTCCCTCAGTTTCAATTGGATCCCTTTCAATATAACCCTCTGGTTTTACCAGATGGGGGTGATCCGCCTGTGGCTGAGCTTATTTGTCTAGGAGAGGGACGCTGGTGTGACCGTAAAATTAGCCAATGGTTTGATCCTCGTACTTGTAGGGCTATTAAAGCTATTCCCCTTCCACGTCGGTATGTGGAGGAAAAGTTGATCTGGCATGACACAACTGATGGGGTGTTCATGGTCAAATCGGCCTATCACCTCGCTGTCGCGCTTGATAAGTGGAGGGGTGGGTGGAAGTCTACTGTGAGCTGGATGAACAAGGCTAGTCGGATTCGTGTTTGGGAGGCTAATATTCCCCCTAAACTGAAGGTGTTTGCCTGGCAGATCCTTACTCGGGCCCTTCCTACTATAGAAGCTCTCATCGAACGGAAGCTTCAGGTGCATCTTCGTTGCCCGGCTTGCTGGGATAGTTCTGAAACGCTAGAGCACCTATTTCTCTACTGTCCGGTGGCGCGGGCCCTCTGGGATTACTCGGGCTTGGATTATCCGGGGGAGGGGTTGCCTCGTCAGAATTTTCCTCTTTTCTTAAGCGGCTCTTGGCTTTGATTAATCAACTTACCTTGTTTATGGCGGTGGTGGCCATCCTCTGGAGGATCTGGCATTCTTGGAATTGGGTGGTCTTTGAAGGCAAACAATTCAGGATCCCTGTGTTGATGCGCCAGTTTATCCAACAATATGAGGAATGGGTAAGTTTGCCCAATCCCCGCGTCTTGCGGGCTCCCCCAACTGAGCCTGGGCAGCATGGCCCTGTTGGAGCCCCTCGGATGGTCTGTCGGCGGGACAGGGTCACTAGGCGTGGGTCCCATTCGGCTGGAGGAGTGGTTCTCTTCCACCCTAATGGAGAGGTCAGCATGGTTAAGGGGTTTCAGTTTCAGATCATTGATAACCCTCTGGTGGTGGAATTACTTGTGCTCAGAGAGGCTGTGTTATGGTGTCTGGGGTTAGGCCTCACGGACATTGGGTTTGAAGGCGACGCCAAAGTTATCATCGACAAGCTCAATCGGGGTGACCACTATGACAACAGGATGGGTGTTGTTTTTGAGGAGCTTGAGCATTATTTTCACATCCATTCGGGGTTTAGTATTCGGTTCATAGGTCGGCGTAGTAATAGGGTAGCCCATATGATGGCTAGAAAAGCCCTTTCTTTGTACCCGACCATGAGTCGTTTCTTTGATTTTCAGAACTGGTTGATTTCCAAGGTGTAACTGTCTCTTCTTTAAGTCAATATAAGATTATCTTTTGTAAAAAAAAAAGGATACGTACCGGGTAGCGGTGCTATTATTTGAAATTATTTGTTTAATTTTTTATTATGGTTATGTAGGAGTTTAATTAGTATTTTTAGTCCTTATTTAATTAGTATTATGTTTCCTAGTTAGTTTGTGATTTGTTTTCCTATTCCTTTTAGGTTAGATTTATGTTTTATGAGCTCTATAAATAGAGGATGTGAGAGCTACGAAATTTGTAACAAATATTCAAGTTATCAATTAAGAGTTTTTACTCGTGTTCCTTTGTGAACGTTTGTGCAAGCTTCTGTCGAGAGTATCCAGGAGTTTCACGTGTCTCTTATCAACTAGAGAACGCATCTAGTTGTGGCGAGCATCTACCCTATATCAATTGCCCCTTTTCACGAGTTGATTCTATCCGATTGGTTTAATATACCAATTGCCCTTCATCACGTGTTGGGATTGTCCGATTGATTCCGTATCTATCTTTTATTTCAAGTTGTTCAAGAAAGGAGAAAAGCTTCGAAAATCCTTAAAAAAGAAGGAAGGTTGCGTACTTTGATCATATCATCCGAGTTCGAGGATTCTCTTCGGATTTGGATCATATCACCACAGAAGTAAGAAAGAAACACACCCACTGCGGCAGCCTCTACGGCATCAGTCACCGATGGTCAATAATCCTCGTCGCCGCCTCGTCCTCACCGTCGTCTCCGTCTCCGGCTAAATCTTATGTTGGCGACTTCCAGACTTTTCCCATTAATAGCACTGTTTAAAAAAATCCAAAAGTAGCACCCAGTCCCGAAAAATTCAAATAATAGCACCATTTTTCGAAAACCGCAGGGTGGGGGCGCGTTTTTCGATGAAAACCACACTGGTAGGGAGCGGTTTTGTTGACCGCATGGGGCCGGAGCGGTTTGGGTGCAAACCGCACCCCCATAGGGCGGTTTGTAATAAAAAAAATTTCCCCAAATAATAACCATAAGTGGTCTTGGTATAACTGGTTCAGTTGTTTCTTTGTATGCAAGAGGTCCTTGGCTCGAAACACCATCGTCCCATATTAAATCTTTTTATTTATTAGAGATTAAAAAAAAACCAACATGTTGTGGGGGTGGTTGTTCGAAACCCTGATAATATAAATAGTTAACTAAATTTAGTACAATATCTACACCACCAAACTACTACTCCATTGTTGGAACAAATACATATTGACAAAGTTTTAGCCCTTGAACGTTAAAAATCTTCGATAACTTTCAACAGCCATAACTTTGTGCTCCAAAATCCGAACGTCGTGATTTTTATCATTTCGCATAACTTTTGAAGGACTACAATTTTCACTAGAAAGAAATTTTCAAAAAAGGAATTATTATGGGATATACAGGATTTTGGGAATAACTTTACCTTCCCTTTTCACAAATCCACGTACATTCCGAAATTATGTCTATGGAAAAAAATTTAGTCCTTAAAAAGTTATGCGAAATGAAAAAAATGCATGACGTTCGGATTTTTGAGCACAAAGTTATGGTCGTTCAAAGTTTGTCGAAATCAGAAAAAAAGCTCGTTCGAGGTAGCAAACGATATTTTTACGGGACTTTGGTGGGACTTTGGCGGTTTGTGGCTTGCAAGATCTCGAAAAGTTATGTGAAATAAAAAAATTCGCGACAATCGGATACCCGAATACAAAGATACGTTCGTTTGAAGTTTCCACCTAGGTTAGGATTTTTTGGAAAAAACAAATTTGGACCAAACCGCCCCCACCCCGAGCGGTTTTCAAAGCCGCCCCGTAACCATGCGGTTTTCATGGAAAACCGCGGGTGGGGTGGCGGTTTTCGAGAAAGGATGCTATTTTTGGAATTTTTCGGGACTGGGTGTTATTTTGTAATTTTTTTTTAAACAGTGCTATTTCTAGAAAAAATCCGCGACTTCCTTTCCCCCTCGATCGAATCCTGGACAAAACAAAAAACACATAAAAAGGATTAGAACTTCAAGAACCCCCTAAAACTAGAAAATCCTACATGCAAGCCCCAAAAGAAAACTTTTACCTTAGTCGCCCTCGATCGTCATCGTCGGTCTCACCATTGTCGTCTTCCCACCGCAGCCATTGTTTTTCCTTTCTTCCTTCTCGTCCTTACTACTTACTAGAAATGGAGAGAGAACAAGAGGTTATATCAAGGAGAGAGAGAGAGGCACAATAGGAAAAAGGAGGTCGACGACGGGGACGAACTTCGGTTGCCATCACTCCTCTCTACTTTGTGAGACGAAGAGAAAGGGGGAAGAAATGAAGGCGCCTGGCCGCGGTTGAAAATGGGCTAGGTTTTCGTTCGTCTTAAAAACAGTTCATAACTTATTTTGATAAAAAAATAAAATGATTAATACCTTATTTTGGCATGAACTATACACATATAATCAATTTTGGCTAGTGATTTTAGAAATTCTCATCATGGCCACAACTATACATCATATGAACTTACTTGACCTAACGCGTGGTTTTACGGTCAATTTAGACGGTCAATACCATTGACCGTTAGTCAATACACCATATCATTACCTCATCAGTCTAAAAATATTAAAAAAATTTAGATTAAAATTATTTTCCTTTTTAAAATGTGAACTGAAAATTAATAAAAAATAAGAGAAAATTCTCATTTCTCTCTCCTCATTCTGCCGAGTGCCGACACAAACATAAACACTTTCCCAACCCTTCTTCCTCCAAAAGAAATTCTCTCAACACTCTCTATCTCTCTCTCTCTCTTCAACCCAATCACAAACTAGTAACTACCGCTGGCAGCCGGCGTATCCTCCAATCCCATCCCCTCCTCCCCAAACAAAACACCATCGCCAACCATGTTCGTCCTTCTCTTCTCACGGCGAGATCTCGAATACTCTGCTTCTTCGATTCTTATTTCTGAGGGTCAATCTTCGAGGAGAGAAATGGTCACCAGCGACAGAGACGGATCTGGTTCTTAAGCATCGGTCGCAACCGTGATTCTGATAGAGACGGATCTTCGGGAGGCATGTGAGTGGTAGGAAGCCAAAATCCCATTTCCCGAGTTCGACAACAACACTTTCTTCTCCAGTGAGGTCGAGTGTCCCTGCCACACAAACAGCTCAACTACGACAAGCCTGCGACTGCGCTTCTCCTCCTCTGAAGAATCGACGGCCTGGGAGACAGTGGAGGCAGAAAACTAGGAGATGGTTTTCCTATTATTAGCTTCTTGTAGTTGTGCTCTGGTCTAGAAATTAAGTGAGAATGTGAATTCTTAAATTAGAGTTGTGGTTATGGCTTTGGTGGTTTGTAGAGTTCTGGGAAGTCATCAATGTTGAAATTTGGAAAGGATTTTTTTAACTCGTGGAGCAGGTAAGTTGAGAGGGGATGGTTTCTATGCGGAGAGGGGAAATTGCTTGAGGGGAGGTCAAATTGGGGGTTCCTGGAAGCTGAAGTGGAGTGGGGAATCTCGCCTTAATTTCGCCGGTCGAACCCAGAAAGAGAATCACAATGACTAAAATGGGCAAGAAGAAGAAGAAGAAGCGGGGGAAGGGAAGAAAGACCCAAGAAGAGGCTTTTGGCGGGATGGCTTTTTGTCCGCCGCTGCCGGAGTGATTCGCGAGGTACATCAACGAGGTTAGAGGGAGGGAAGTGAATATGGTAATTCAAAAGCGGGTGTCAAGGGGAAGAAGGGTTGGGTAGTTTTGGGGATGTGTGGGCCTGGAGAGAGAATGAAGATGTTTTTTATTAATTTATTTAATTTTTATTTTCTACATGGCATCCACGTCAGCGTAGAAGGCTGATTCACTAACGGTCAATGATGTTGACCGTATAATTTAGAGGAAATTTAAGAGTCGGGCCAATTGAGTCCATACGGTGCATAGTTGAAGTCAAGATGTTAATTTCTAAAACCACGGGTCAAAGTTGATTATATGCTCATATTTTGGGGCAGAATAAGGTATTAACCCAAAATAAAACGACCAAAATGCCATTCTTCTTTCTTGAAAACAGCTCGCTGCCACCTTCCTTCTACTCAAAAAACGACAACAAGAAACGTAGCCTTTACTGAGGCTCGATCTAAGCAATTCCCGCTCATGAGATTCACCAGTCAGGGCGTCCAGCCACTAGGCTGGCCGCCTGCCACTTAATCAAAAATCAATCTCTTTTAAGTCAAATAATCATAATACTTAAATCGAGTCGAATGTGATACGATCCTTCGATCCTAGGTTAATACCAAGAACATATCTCTTGAAAATTCTTATTATAATCAAATCCCATTGAAACTATCGACTTTTGAAAGTCATTTTTGCTCGTTTACATATTTTCTCCTAAAAATCCTAAGTACGAAATTATGGTCAATAGCCTGTGGTCGCTTTTAAGGTTGAAAACATAAAAATTACATATCAAAATTATTTCCTACAAAATCAGTCCCAAGCCCTAAACACGATCAATAGAACGTGCTAGGCTTTCTTTTTTCCAAAACCATTCAAAGACCGAACTACGTGGACTTTGATCTCGATTACTCGGGAACGTAGGCAACCAATAGGTTCGAGTTCAACTAACAAATTTTCTCCACATTCCAATGTGTGTGAGACTCAACATTTTAAAACCCCTCAATTTCAACGAACTACGTGGACTTTGATCCCTATCGGTTACGTAGGCAACCAATAGGTTCGAGTCCAACCAACAAAAAAAATACTTTCTTTACTTTCGAGATTTTGCGACAATAGATGGATAATCAAATCGTTGTATAACAATAAGTCTAATTTTACTCATTAGTCCAATTGGAATCCAAAATACGAAATTAACAATTTTAAATAACAAATACCTAATTAATCGAATCATATAATAAAATACGCATTAAGCCAAATAATAATAATAATACACTCAACTCTTTTAAAAACTTAACGATTTAAGTAGTACCAATTTTTGAGCGGTGTGGGGTGTGAATACACTTACTCACACGTAACCGTACTCCCGAACCTAGAATCTTCTTATTCACATACCATGTCTCGGTTTTGACCCCAAGGTTGAAGCCGGAAGAAAAGTGTTTGATCCACTTCTATTAAGATCGATGGCGACTCTGAGCATCACGCAACAGAGCCCCCGATTTTGAGGGGCGCTTGCGACAGTATTCATGCCATGTCCCGGTTTTGACCCCAAGGTTGAAGCCGGAAGAAAAGTGTTCGATCCACTTCTATTAAGATCGATGGCGACTCTAACATCACGCAACAGAGCCCCCGATGTTGAGGGGCGGTTGCGACAGTATTCATGCAAGTAGTAACAAGTCCTAGGATGTCCTAGGTTCATATTCCTTTAGGTCTTCTAATACATAACTACTCACGCCAACCATTCTGACATACATGAATTGAACAAGCAACCAAGAAGAGTAAAGTTGTTTAGGCGTTTCCGATTTATAGATGCATACACGTAAATATATGTTATTGTAAGAGGTAGTGAACTCGAAGACAATTATGGAAAATTAGGGCGCAATCACATCATGCATCGATGATTCAACTATTGTAACACCATATCCCTTCCTCTTATGCCACTCTCTACTCGTGCATGCGCCTCTTGTAATAGAGATTTAACTAGCTAACGCTTGCTTTCATTTCATGCCATTACCTAATCAATGAAGAGCAAGGAAGTAAGGATAAGATATAGTTAATTGTGGGCTTCTACAAACCATAAATATAGTTTATATCATTGATTATCTAGCAATCAAGCATTGATATTACTCGAAGCATAGATTGTTGATCATTCCATCTCTACTCATGGAGCATCAATAAGGTATCCCTAGAAGGTCATTTTTTGACAATCCAAGCAATACTAAGAACAATGCATAAAGTAGCATACAATAGAATCATAAACATCTATGGTATTAAGATAATTCATACTATAGAACCATCAATGACCATCACATAAGCATCAAAACTAAAAGCATCATACATAGCAATATGTATCGAAAATTCATAGACAAACACAAGCATTAGATAAATTCATAGCATTCATTCACATAACAATAAACAAGATTACATCCTAATACAATCGATGTCGACTAGCTAAATAGAGGTGAAGAAGGTACCACCACTGATGATGACAATAGCTCCTTAGCTGCACACCCCTATACTTTGACTAGACTAACCACTCGTGTAGAGTGTTACTGGAAATTTGTGTGTTTGTGGAGCCTTATTAAGCTAATGGGTCATTCCCTTTATTTATAGCCTTCTGTACAGTTTCAAAATCCTTGGTTATTAGTCTCCCTAATCTATGTGTTTTCATGTCTTAATTATGTGTGAACGAGCTTTAAGCCTTGCATTCTAGCCTCGATTACCCCTATTGTGTTTAGACTTGTTTAGACCAGGATTAGTTCGGTTTAAGCCAATGTGGAAGGAAATAGACCGCCAAGTGTGAGTTGAAGGCGAGGAGATTTGCAAGCAAACAAGAAGAGATCGTAGCCCGAATATTTGGGTCGTGATCCACGATTTCATGGCAGTTTCAACTGTTCACGGTCAGGAACTTTATCACCAGGCTACAAACCATTATTTGTAAATGGGGGAATTTTCAACATAAACCTATGATTAGTTTAGCCAAGAGTTAACATTTGTTAATTAATAAGAATCAGGACTTACTCGTCCCGAATATCAAACTAAAAAATCCAATTAAGGCCCTAGAATAAACCTTAGTTGGGTTCAATATAGGGCACGTATGTTTAAATGTAAACCCTGAGTCGATCCATATACCCCTACTTCGATTGTTTGAAACATTATCTAGCGATTGGCTTTTGGTGAAAACTACGATCTATAATTTAAACAATTGGAAAAGTAAATGGATTGGACACTAATTGAGAAGACTTCACCAAGGTGTTTTGACACGCTAAAACACAACACCTAACAATGGCCAAGTGTAACCAATGAAAGGGACTGCAGTATAGTGGCACAAGTAATAAATATCGAATCCACGGGTCTCTAGAGTTACTATTACTCAGCTTCAGTTCATTATCTAGCAAACTAGATTAAGGATTGATTTATAAACTACTCTACTAACTACTCTACTAATTACAAGTTGTGAACTCACTTAGGTATGATTCCCCCTAGCTCCTCAATTAGGTCCAAGTTGCAATTACCTTTGGTTGATCTACCGTTGATTAAACTGCGGAAGATCCGACAGTAGCTTGGAATCTCTTAAGCTGACCAAGCCCTCTCAGTCCAACTACCCGGCAGGCGACTAACCTTCACTGGGATAGAAAGCTGAGGCTATGAACACAGAACTCCACTACTGGAATTGGATTCCAGTACAAAGCAGTAGATTGACTAACTCTCGTATAACCAATTCACCACCATCAATCAAGGAAGCTCTCTTAACCTAATCAGATTCTATCTATCATAGGTTAACGCAAAAATCAAGAGAATTTGATCAAGATTCAATTGACTCAATAAATCATGCCTCAATCAATTATAATCAAACAATATAGCATCCAAAACTTCATACAAGAAAGATCCTAACACATGGAACAAGGGTTCCTCAAAACCTAAGTGAAGGGAAGTTACTCCATAGAGAAGAGAGAGACTGCAGAAATCTGATCTAGATCTTCAATCTCCATCTCCAAGCTTGATTCCCGAGCTCCAATGGCGAAGAAATCCTCCAAAATAGCTCCAAGAATGTTCCCAAGTCGCTCTTTCTCTCTAGGGTTCGTCCCTTGGGTGTTTGGGAACCAAAACCCAGCTCCCCCCTTTCCTTTGGCTGAAAATCGAGTTTTAAACAGAAATTCCCGATCACGCGGCCAGGCCACACGGCCGTGTGGCTTTCCTAGCTTCCCGTGTGAAGGCTCGGTGATTTCCACACGGCCACGACCCACACGCCCGTGTGGAGTTCCAGGATGCCCGTGTGGCTTGCTCATCCTCTGTTTAATGCTTCGTTTCTCGCTCGTCCGGACTCCGAATCAGTCCCCGTTTGATCCCAGACGCTCGTAGTCTTGTCCTCTTTCTTTTCATGACAAGCTTGCATGATTATTTGTCCATAAAGTGAGGTAGAAATCCATTCTTATTCAGGTCATGCACGAGTTTCTTCTCCCGAATCGTCAATTGATCTCTGATTGATTTGAAACTTGAGTCTATGCTTCACTTTATGTGCTAGGACCTGAAATGTGACAAAGGGACACAACCTAGCATAAAATAGGACAAAGACGCAATAATTCAAGCTCAAACAATCAAGAAACAAAGGGGAAAACATGTGCAAATACCGAGTCATCAAATCCCCCCACACTTAACTGTTTGCTTGTCCCCAAGCAAACCTAACTCAAACCAATGCAGCTCTCCAGACCTCTATAGCAACAAACAACCCCGATCGTCGGTAGAGGATTTCCTAGATCATATAGCAGCTTACGAGGTCAACTGGTCTTCTAAGACGTCCCCTATCTCTCTCAATGCGAGTACTAGACTCAAGCTAGGAACATGAGAAGAAGTAGAAGTAAGATAGTCAGTTCATGGACAAAGGGACTCACACCATTCACAACCAAGGACTCGTTGTACCGGGGTGCTCTTTCACTTCATTTCACCGTTGGAACCCCTTTTTGCACTTTCATTTACATTTCTTTTTCTCTTTTTTTCTTCATTCACTTGGCGGGGGTTCCAACTGCAGTCTTTTGCCCGATCGACCCTTATTAGTCGAGCAAGAGCAATTTTTGTACATCTAGCGCTCGCCAGAGTACTTCTTTTAACTCCTTTTCCTCAACTCATGTGGAGGGTCAATGAAATCAAGGGGGGGGGGGTCGGAAGCTCTATCCGTGCCCTTAAAAACACATCCTCAAGTAGGCAAACCGTTCAACGGGTGAAAATTTTACTTGTACTAGA